GGACAATGGTTCTTTCACCGATGGCGTTGGTATCCCGGTGGTAATGAAGACAATGACTGGGTCAACTGCGTAATAGACCCGCTTGACGCCAGAGTTCAGAGTTTGCTAGTTCACTCACGTCATCACCTTCGGATACTAACTTCAAAAAAGTTTTCACTTTGAGGACGGTTTTTGGGTTGTCTACTTTTGGTGTTACTTTACTATCCTTGGCGATGAACGCACCTGGACATCCATTTGCTTTTAATGCTTCCTTTAAAACGTCACACACCTCATTTAAACTGACCTCTGTGCACATCTCACGAGCCCAATGGAAGTGTACGAACGTGGCCAATTTTGTATCGTATGGGAACAAAGCTCGTGGACAAAAGTGGTCAACTCAGGTGAGGAAGTAGATGCAGTCTATTGAGACTCTTCCTCATCTTTTGTTAGAGTGAACCACAAAGTGTTACGTCCTACGAGTTAAATAAGCTTCAGATTTGTAATTCACCCATGATAATATTGTAGATCATCACTCATTTGAAAGGGCAAGAGTGTTGGAAAATAAACGGGAAAACAGCATCTAAATAGGTGAACGAACTAGGCGGAGTGTTTAATAATGCACAGAGATCCAATCCACCCACATGGTTTTCTCAAATCTCCACAGTTGACTGGTGGACAAACCAGGTCTGAGTGAAACAAAAGCGATTCTAACATTTGCTTGAGTCTATGACCCAGCATACAAAGCCAAGGAGCTATACATTCCATTGTACTGTAAAGCGAGAGTCGCTAATATCTTTCGATATTCTGGCCTTCGTTGATGAGATCGAGTAGTGAAACGGGGAGCAGCGAGACTTGAAACGCCGCAGTTAAAAACCCACATTTTGCACTATATCTGATGAGGTGGGACAAGTAGTAAATTACCAGGACGCATGCGGTTTCATTCAAGTCTGTGCTGTCATAGTGTCAATTTAGCATTCAAAAGACAATTGTGGCTGCAATAATCCATCACAATTGTTTTCGATCCTCGGGCGTCAATACTAATTCGGTTCGCCTGATAAATGTTGTTTGAGATAAGCAACGATGTAATACATTCGGTTTCTAAATTCCCGTCAGTGATGAGGAACAACAAAACGGTTGGCCAATGCAGGAATATACCATTCACTTAAAGGCATTGCTGGATTTACCACTCTATGCCCTAAATGAAGGGCTTTAGCGAACAAAGGTGTGGCATCAACTGGTTCAGAACAGACTAGACCGCATCGGAGCGAGCTAAAACCAGGCTCAGGGTGACCGAGACGCTCAACAGTGAGTCAAACATATGTTATCCGACTTCTTTGCAGTTCGCACTTGGTTGTATAAAAACTACAGAAGTGTATGTTCGAAAAAGAAAAATCGAATGGGGCTTAGAATGCCACTGCTTATCGCATCCCCATGATAATTTGATAACCATCTATAGATGACTACTCAAGAAATAAACGAATGCGGTAAAGCCCAAAAAGGCATATCCTTTGCGGAGGCCAATTACGGAACAATAATTGAATTGTCATCTGCACCAACTGCCACACACGAAAAATTGACAGTTGCGGCGTCCATAAAGCCGATTCATCTTTTAGCTGAAGGTAGTTGTGAAAAACAAACGTTTTGACACCAGTGTGTTGCGGCATTGTCATCCCGTTTTACAGCCGAGTTCACTTGTTTAAGACTGTGTGAGAGAATAATAAAAATGGTGCCCCAGGGACGAATGGCTCTGTTAGTCACCCGTGTAGAAGTGGCTACACATTGCTAGTTAGTCTGTTTCAAGGATGAAACTCATTATATCAGTGGAACATAGGGACTGGGGTGAATTATGCAGTGTTTGCATTGTGGTTAGTTTGCACCGGTTGGTGTGACTTATTCCACTTGAATGAAACAACGTCATGTTCAATAATTCTGTTCACTGAATGCTCGTGTTACTTTCTAACAACTCAATTTTACAGAACGGTGACGACTTCATCTGTGATCGAGTAAATGTGTTGGATATGTACGAGTATGTGTTCTGGTCACAAGCAACAAGCTGAAGATCTGTTTCACGGTACATAATCAACAGCCTTGCTTGGTTTCGGAACAATGGGCATTGTCTCCTTGTCAAATACCAATTTGTGATTTAACTATAAAGTAGCAACTATATCGATATGTTCCCACATTTCAGTAAACCCGAACCTGATTGTACAACGATTATGCAATGTCGCCCCGCAGTATGTTGCGCTTCCTGATACTCAGCTGATCGTTGACCGATGTACTGTTTGGTCACTGATCAACCAACATGCAGTGTCGCATTCAGTCAATGACGTTTCATCTACTGTGACGCGAAATTGACAGAGTTCACTGATTGGATAACCATTCTGAGGAGAGCACATAGATGCCAGCAAACGGAATATGTTCGAAATGTTCAATCAGCCGGATGCAACTCGGAGCTCCGTAAACAAATCACTTGGTATTTCAAGAAAAACTGTTTACAATGTTATATACCATCGAACGATTATCGGAGAATTCGTGAACGCTGGATCACCTCAGGAAAGGTGCCAACTGAAAACCAATGAAAAGTTCAAGACATTGAATGAAGCGACATTAGCTTGGTTTGCTGCTACGAATGAAAAGCACGGCGAGCTCCCCATTGTGGAGAGCGTCCTTCTTCAGAAGGCATCCCAGATATCACAAGGAATGCATCACGGTGAATACAGGGCTTTTAAAAGTTAATTTCTCTGTCGGTCAGACAGGTGTGGTATTACATCTTACAAAACAAGGATCAAGCAACTACTCTTGTGTATTTCTTTTCACATTTGTGGAAACCAGTCTCTAAAGTGAATTGAACATGGATTTAAGTCAGAAAGGTGCATTCCTGTTGCACAGTTGACTGGATATAACTGAAAGGTCGATGGTGGAACCATTCAGGTGAAAAGAATGAATTTCAGATGCTAAGGTTCGCAGAGACCATAGCTACTAGGGGCCCGAAGCCAGGAGGTAATCACGAAAGCGGAATGAATTATTATTCTGTTAAATTATCATTTAGGACAGTTTAAGTATTTCGTTTGCCGCAATAAGCATCGGCCGAGATGCAACAGAACGATTCCGGAAGTTAATAGACAGAGGCTCTTATTGAGCCTATCTCAAAGAGAGTCAACTACGCACTTTGCATACACGTCGTCAAGCTGACACCCGACATAATTAACCACACACACAGTTCGTTTATCAGTGCTCACGATCCACAAATAATGTCTGAGCCTCAAACCCTTTATGGCATTTCCTCTTTAGACAATAAAAAAGCAATCAGGGTATTTCGTAACCTTTGAACAGTGTTGATAAGACAAAACTGCTATTTTCCCTTCCTGTAAGGTACATAGTTCACAAAACTTAAATCCAGCGCGATTTTGAATAGTATGATCGTGTAGCTCAGATTGCCTCGAAATATCCTTCTTTTTTTCCGCTCACCAAAGTGTAAACCCCACCGTTTAGAGGTTTATTGTATTAAAATCATAGGAGCCCTTTCTTTGATGTACTTCAGCCAGTATGCAGCTTATATTTTCTCGAGTCTTGAACATAGGAACGAGGGAGAAGGTTGGTTGAATGACGGCGTATAAATTCTTCAAACTTCTAGGACATTTTAAATATAGAACGTCTTCTTGTACTTCGCTCTTATATCCTTATAATTTGGTAGTAGGCAACTCAACTATAGTCCGGCTCGCGGCCAAGCCCATGCGACTGGGGGCCTAGGTGGTTCAGCACTGGAGGTCACGGGTTTAGATTGAAGGTTTCCGCGAGTGAACAATCGGCCGTAACCTCCTACGCTATTTGAGACAGTAATAAAACTTCTTAACTTGATTTCATGCACCTCAGTTATTTCTTCTCTGGCTTCCGTTAAACCGCAATACTCGTGAGATGAGATTAGACCATATACTGTTTCTGACATCTATCAAATCCATAAAATACCCCATTTTTATTTGTCAAATCGTTCAACAATGCTGCGTCTGCAACACGATACCACCGGTATGACGGCGGCCTACACCTAACCGAACTGAATAACATTTTACATTTCATGTGAGCTCGAGCGTTAGAACAACTACGGGAAAACCCGCTGTCTACGTCGAATTGCACGACCGCACGAGAAACGCTGAGGTTAGGCGTAGAGTTTTAGACAGTCGCGGTCGTCCACTAGAGGAAGTGATGGACCTCCATAGATTACGTTGGTTGCGGCATGTTTTACGCATGTCACCAAATAGGTTGCCACGGCGAGCGAGGTTCGCCGAGGCAGGGAGCGGTTGGGAAAAGGTCAAGGGCGGTGAAACGAAGACCTGGCATAAGGGTATGAAAATCTCAATCAGAAGACTAGGTCGGATAGATCCCGTTAGACCCCCTGGCTGGGGAACTTGGGATGATGGTCACCAATGGTTAGAAGCACTGAGCGTTATGGCTGGATGTCGCAAACAGTGGCGCTCGTGCATCCACTCATTCCCCTAAGGCCATTCTATATGAATTCTCAATCTTCCGCTTGAATTTGTTTTCGACATTCCAGTCTTCTTTCTGCTCTTTTATCCAAATGGGCGACCAAAATCAGCAACTAAAACGGGTGTACGAAGGTGCATAGTTAATGATTGTGAAAACTGAAACTGAAACATGAATTAAATATACTTTTACACAAAAGTGAAGTGAAAGAAGCACAAGGACTGCGTAAGATATTGAAATGAAAGGATCAGTAGACAGTCAAATTTTCAATAACAGTAGACGAATTCCGCGCTATTTCATTGAGCGGAGTGATCCCCACAATTATCGTATCCAATAAGTCGGCAGCATGTTTGAGCGGTTCCAACGGTAGTGCTCTTTTGCCAAAAACGTGTCATCCAAATGGAAACCGGGACTATCTCGAATGTATTCACACTTCCTTTGGAAATAGGAAATGACGTGCGATCTACTCGGAACTAGTTTGTTCAACCATCTGCCATACAAGTGTATGAGAAAAGACGAACTTCGCGATGCCAAACTGCCGGCTACTTTTTTTTGAGTTTGCTTACAAAAGATATGGTAGCGCCATTTCGAATGCCCGTATCCAGTAGTGGCATGCGGAGATCATCCAATACACGAACAACCGAAGACCGACCAAGCGTCAACTGTGTTGAGCTGGGTGTCACCCATGCTAAGCACTGAGTCCTCCAAATACTCCGCCAGCTAAGAAATCGTGGTGAGGTGAACCGTAAACTTAAACGAGCTTCAGCCTCTGGTTGTTCTCTGCGGATAAGGTCAAATGCCTCCCCGGTGATTGGTTTTTCTCTCTTCTCTGTAGATTCACGAGGGCCAGGTCCATTGAACAAACATCTATTCAGATAGGACAAAATTACCTCCTGAATAGCACGTCGTAAATCCAGTACCCGAGCACTGATGGGAACCAGCACAGGCAGACGAATACCATCACCGCGTAGTAGTGTTACTTCCATAGCCTAGAGAAAAAAGAAAGTATGAATTTAAGTGCCGCACTTTCTCTACAATGATACCCTGATGACCAAAATTTTGATCGATCCAACCTCACATCTTTAAACGGAAGGGGTATTTTGTCATACATTATCCGGCACAGATAACTTCCAGTCAAACATTATTGATAGAAAACTTGCTGTTTATGAGACCAAGAAAATCTTACGTGAAAACCGAAGGATCATTGTCCAACCATTTAGATTAAACTAAACTGCATGCAACGTCAGCTTTATCACCATCGGAGGATAACAATACGAACTAAGAGGCTAACGCTGGTTGGAAATTCGCATCTTTCCAGTCGGGGCTTCAAAAGGTAGCTTACTTCATAGATATATACTCTACCCTACAACTACTCGCTGTGAGATTCGGAGCCAGGACCTTCAGGTTACTGCCTTGATAACCTTACCAACTTGAATACAGCTGCTTTGAATAAGAGAGGACAATAGTTGAGACTTGAAGTCATATCTCCTAATTTCTGCAATCAACTGTTGTATTTTGGGTCCCAACTCGGAAGTTTGGAGCTACCAGTGCTATCTTATTCTAAATGAAACCGAGAACCATGGAGAGGAATCGACTAGGTAAGTACGGGTTTAGTATTTGTAGGACATGGTTGAGCCATCTAAGCCTGCGGTCTCCGAGAGCCTCAGTATGGTCGAGGGTGGGTGTCTAGGGTTGCGGCTGGTCACCTCGCGAAATGCTCCCATACGACCAAGCGTCTCTAAAAGACTCTGCTGAGGAAGCCCTGCTCACTGCCTTCTCGTGGCATATGTTTTTTCCAAATAAAGTGAGAGGACCAAAAGCCGACATCCGGTGCTATAACCGGGTTGGTGGGCCACTGGTAGTTCACCTAGGGGAGTTGGTTAAATACCTGATTCCAAACCAACCAAGAGGCGCGCGAACCACACACCTTCTTGGTCTTGGTAGTGGTCACCGGCTCGACTGGGTATTGAGGTATGTTGGGCAACCTGGACGTTTGACCCTGTCCAAACGAAATGAGATTCCATGAAGTGGAAACCGGCCCCCAATGGATTGCGGTTTTCACACATCACCCCGCTGCCTTGCGGGTCAGGCTTTGGCTAGCCGAAAAATCCGGTTGTGAACTCTTGCTTTGATCTGGGCAACCTAGCAGTATCGTGCCCTCTAGCAAATCACGAACTTTTTTCTTTTTCTAAAGATTATTGTGCCGTGATTTGTTTGATACAGTCTGAACTCAGGCGGGTCTGAAAATATGTATATGAGGTATTTATGAGGTATGAGGTATGTATATGAGATGCGCTAAGACTTCATCGATCAAGCTGTCGTCCAATCAGCTGAATATCAGCTGCTGAAAAGTATGTTGCATTCATACGCCGGTGACATTCCCAAAACGATGATTGAAAACGGGCAGTCGCTGAATAAATTTAGAGTGGTGTGACCGGGATGAACGGCCGTGAATTTGCACTGTACGGACTGCGGCGCGGTGTACACGATCTCTTTGAGAGCCAGTGCGATGCCGCGACGGCGCCGCAGATGTTTTACATTGACGGAGTCCACCCCAGCTTGTACCACACGGAGCGTGGTTTCGTCATTAAAAATGCCATCAACTGAGGCATATATTATCAACAATTACAAGTTTGTCGACACCTAGGGAAAGCGCTTCTATCAATCTCGAACTAGCAGCCCAAACTCGGTAGATTAAAAGATACTCTATACGATGTAAATTACATAGTTACTATGGGGCATCATGAAACAAGAACAAAGAAATGGATCCGATAGTCACGGTAGCACAACTGACCTGACCAAAGTGCTTTTTAATCATGTTCTCCACTTGTGTCACCGAGGGAAGGAGAAAAGAGTAACTTGCAGTACTGGAGATTCCATGGTACACGTCCCCGAGAAAATGTTCGTTCCGAATAAGAGCTTCGATTCGTTCGTCAATCGATTTCCTGACAGAATTCCATTCCTCCAGAGCACTACTAACAGCAGAATCCATCGGCGAAAAAGATAAAAATTAAATAGACCCAAAGAACTGCTCGTGATTCCTCTGAAAACAAGAAAAGATGGGGGGAATTAACACTTTGAATCATCTCCCAAATACCACCAATGTTATAAACGAGCATCACTATTGCCGTATTCTTGTTCTCAAGTTCATAAACTTTTCTGTTGCACGTTACATGAAATTTCTTTTTACTGCAGCTCATTTACAACAATTATTAGTTGAATAAAGATACAGTTCCAACTTCGAGTCTTCTCTGTTATGGACCGTTCCTTTTTGCCGTAAAAAGTTACTCATTACTCAACTAATAAAGGACCACAAGTGCTTAAGACCTGCGTAGGCCGCTCGAACCGAGAAAATGCGTGCTGGTATCTCCTTTGATGCGTTACGGTTGTTGGTCATGCAGCTACCCAAGTACGAGAAGCAATCGACTTCAGCTAGTTCCTCAACTTCTAGTTCTGAACGGAACACGGCGACACGAAACATCACTTTGCACTTTGAAGGTGCAAAGCGCATGCCTGGTGAGCGCCTGGCCAGCTGAACTGTTCTTTGAAGTAATCCAGTTCAGTTCACTTCTACAATCATTAGCTATGCACCTTCGTACACCCGTTTTAGTTGCTGATTTTGGTCGCCCATTTGGATAAAAGGGCAGAAAGAAGACTGGAATGTCGAAAACAAATTCAAGCGGAAGATTGAGAATTCATATAGAATGGCCTTAGGGGAATGAGTGGATGCACGAGCGCCACTGTTTGCGACATCCAGCCATAACGCTCAGTGCTTCTAACCATTGGTGACCATCATCCCAAGTTCCCCAGCCAGGGGGTCTAACGGGATCTATCCGACCTAGTCTTCTGATTGAGATTTTCATACCCTTATGCCAGGTC